ATACCTATACTTATTCCTTTCTTGTTTTTAACTGCCTTTTTTGATTGATTTAAGAAAATCTACCAAAAAATAATATATTTCTATGTTACCATTTCATAATATAAACAAACATGAAAACCCTTTTCGGTAGGGTTATATTATAATGTTAATATTTTTTACCAAGTTTTTTTTCAATTTATATTAAGATATGATTAAGAGATTTTTTAAATTTCACTTCTCTGTCCCAGACCACTGTTCAACCCATATAGAAAAGCGACAAACGCAGACACACGCAAGGCTTTTGGGTTCACAAAGTCTAACTAGGATAAAAAAGCTCAAACATTTTCATATAAAGGTTGACAAGTATAAAGAGGAAAGGGGTTTCGGAAAAGCGGGAAAAGCGGGGAGCCACATGATCAGGGGCCGCAGAATTTTCGCCATTGCCCCTGTGCAGTCGAGCACATTTTTCAAGTGCTAAACAAATGTTTTTCTTTTGTTTTCCTTCAGTTGCTGCTTTTACCCGTTTCCCTTTTTTTTGTGGTTACAAGGGATTTGGCTTTTTGTTTATTTGCAACTTGTTTCCATTTTTACGATACCAATTCGTTTGTATTTTCTAGAAATACAGTGTGGGCCAGTCAAATTGAAAGTTTTTCAATTTTTCCGGTGACAGGCACGAAACGCTCCCCCACGAAAACCATAATTATTTATTTGCCTACTCGTTTTTTTGTTTAACCGGCAATCAGCATCTGAGAATCAAAGTCTGAGACATGACAAATTCATTTCGCTTATCAATCGTGTGTATAAATTATATATTTTACCCCCGGAGGCGGGCCGTACATCAGACATAACTACAGCGGCAAACCCAGGCGTCTCATTCAATTACCATCAAAAATGTTCATTAACTCATGTACACACACGCATACACATCCTTCTGGAGCACCATAAATTTCCCTCGACTGCAGCCATTAGTCAATAATATCCTTCCTCCATTTTGGATCCGAGACAATGAAGTGGGGCACACATAAAAAAATTGATTCATTTTTTTGTTGTGTTTGTGTGTGCAGATAATGGTGGGTGGTTGGGTGGGATGCTAGTGGTGCTGCTGGCGGTACATTTCCTTTAAATAAGCGGAGGCCATTTTTGACCGGGTTTTGGCCGCGGGATTTACCATTCGCTTTGAAGTCCAATAATGAGGTTTCGGGCCGACCCGGCAGCTAAATCCCTTTTTCAGAATTCCATTTCGGAAATCAACTTATGGCCATAAACAAGTCAAAAAGCCCACAAAAGCTGCCACACCAAAGCACACTCAGGAAAAAGTGATCAAGTACAAAAAAAATCAATAAGTCGATAACAAAGATTTATTTATTACCATTTACTAATTTAAAAAAAATTACTAATTCAAAAATAAAACTTATTTAACTCAATGAAATATTTATAGATACATTAATTTTAAAAAGTTGTTTAGTTAGACTTTGTAATAAAATTGTCAGGTCATGTTTTCTTGTCAAATGAAAAACAACGAATAAGTTGTTTCTTGACAAGGTGCCATTAAATAACAATTGATTTTGAAAAATATTATGAACAATACAAAGTTGTGCAATGGGATTTTTTCCGAGTGTGTTACACTCACAAATATAAAGAAGTATAGAGCCTTTGAGATGAAGCCATTGGTTGCAACTCGCGGCCGTTGCGCCTAAGCGCAAGATAAACTTTGCGTCTTGAAGCGAAACGAAACGAACAGCGGCTTAGACTCCCTTGGCCACCGCAAAAACTTCAAAATCTTCAACCCGCAACCGCAGATCCCCCCGTTGGATCCCCTTTTTAGAGGCCCCTTTTTACATCCCCTTTGGGGTCCTTTGCTCCCGCCATTTTGCACTTCAACTTGCTGGGGAATTGTTCTCCCTTTTCGGCTCCGTATGTACGGTTGCATATATGTGTGGGTATATGTATATGCATGGATCTGGATGTAGGTTGGAATATTTTTTTCACTTCTGGGCCATTTTTGCATGTTTGTCTCGCAAATTATGCGCTGCACACAAACAAAAGAGGAAACGTCGGCGGCGCAGGCTCTGCTATCCACGGTTATTTTTTTCACTGCCGCTGATGATGGGCTGGAATTTAGCGGGCTGAGAATAAAGACAGTGCAGGCTCGGGAAAAAGAGGTATCTGCGTGATCAGTAGACCGGGGCACCCAGAGGGAAACCCGCAATTTACGGCCACGAAATAAAAAATAACTTATTTCTTAAGTGGGCTCATCACATACATGTACATATTATAAATATGATATAAAAATAACCATTTAGAAAACAAAACCAGTAATTAATAATTGTATTAGCTTAAAATATGCGTAGTTTAATATTAATAATATTAAAATAAGTTACAAAAACTGCAAATGTTACTTTTAAATACTAATTTAATTTTTTTTCCAATAATTCTTAAAGTACCAGTACAAAGATTAATTGCATTTAAGCAAATAAAATTATACTTTCTATTGTACTTAAGGTGCAGTAATATAGTTTGCCTTTTGGCTTAATAAAGTTAATATAATAGGCCTCAATCTGATAATTTCAATAGGGTACCCAATTTTCAATCCCCTCATCACGCTCTCATCTCAAACAGGATCTGAGGTTGAGCCACGCTGCGGCTGAGTGTTATTCTGCAGGAGTGAGGCCTTATTTTTTGCACGCCACGCCTGTGCTTTTGGCGTGTGCTGCTTCCTGCTCATTGCATATCCAACTTTATTTTTCGCTTCCAGCCGGAAATAATAATTGCAACATGGCGCTGCATCCCCAGTGTGCCTGTTGTTGTAGTTGCCGCCTGCAACAGCGGGCATTAGCGAATTTCTACTTGTGGCACTGGCAGCGCCAGAAAATAGTGTCACTTGTGTCACACAAGGCAGTCACTCCACTTCACTCCCCTTTCCTTCCTTTCCCCCACTTTCCCACTGCCTTTGCCATTTTGGTGGAATTTTTGCTCATTTCTCCAGCAGCGAACACGGACAAAGCCTTCATCGCATTTTCTCCCCTGCCGCCGCTATTTGCCCTTTTTTTGGTGGGCTGCCTTTTTTTAAGATTTTAATACGTCCATATGGATGAAAACTATTAAGGGGTTGCATTCCATTTTTCACTGCATTACTGTGTTGCAGATCTCGCAGACTTCTTTTAAAAGTTCACAATATGTACTTTGTTGTAGAGGGTATTTTGTATCCGTAAAGGGCCTCATAGCACAAACAAGAGAACTTATTGATTTTAAAACAATAATTCATTTTATTTTCCACATTTTGAAAAATGACTTAAACATTTAGCTCCTGAATATTGTTCATTTCATATAATTTAATCTTATGAAAAAAATATTTTATTATCTCTTTTTGCACATTTTTTAAACATATATAAAAAGTATTTTTCAATTAACACAAATAAATATTTTGTAATCTCTTTTTGTAAAAGCAATTGCTCTATTAAAATCTTACAAAAAATGATGTGTTACAATGTGTACAAGTATAAAAAAAGTATACAAAAAAGAATTTTAAGAAATGGACCGATGAGAGATACGTCAAAAGAAAATTTCTTCCTACAATTCACCAAAAATAGATCAATGCGTATTTCCTGGTTTGGGAACGAAATCATTGCCAGTCCCCCAGACGCCATATACCACTCCATATCGGAATGGCCGAAAACACCTCCGCAATTTCCCTCTCACTTGCTGCGTGAAATCGTTACAAACGAGCACATGAAAGTAAAGATTGACAGGGTAATACGAGCGAATTCCGTCGACAGGCAGTCGTCTGGGCACACACAGATATATATATCCGGATATGTGTACGGGGATAGCTATATGTCTGGCATATAAACAGTGCTCAGCTGTCAGACAAACAGACGTAACGTGCAAAAAGGAACAAAACATAGGAGAAAAAATGAGGGAAAAAAACTGCGCAAACAATAGAAAAATTGCGAATGACGCGACGCGTTCTGAGTTCATAGAATAAAACAGCAACAACGGCATCAGATCTGACAGGTCTGGCTACATCTCGGCCCCCTGTCACAGCACATCTTTTAGCCAACCAGCCAGCCACACATCCATCCATTAGTTCTTCCGTTTCGGCCATGTTTTTCATACACTTAAACTATATCCATTCATTTTGATGCGACTGCTTCTGCGACTACTTCCATCACAGCCAGCATTCGTCACTCGCTTTATCTAGCGTTCGCTAGGCACTCAAAAAAAAATGTTATTTAGTTAAAAAAACAATTTTGAATTCATATTAATTTGAAGGTACTATGCCTGATAAATTGTCATCACTTAGAGCTATGGTTTTAGTTTCGGTAAGATAGGATATTGGCACAATAATACTTCAATAATAATGCATAAAAACTCTTTCATGTTTTATTATTTTAGTTCCAAGAATTTTCTTTTCTAATAAGAATATCAAAATAAATTGATTATTCTTATTTCTACAAAGTATTAAATAAATAAATGTTTGAATTTAAAACCTGTTTATTTAAGTGTAACTATAGAACAATTTCGCGAATTAAATCCAGTTACAGTCATAGTCTGAGACTCCGCCTTACTCTTTTTGTGTTTATGTCTCTTTGATGTTGTTTATCAACTTGCGCACAGATTTACGAAAGTTGAAACTTTTTTAACTGTTGTCTAGAGTAAATTACAAAGCAAGTTAATGTGGCTTACATTATGAAAATTTATTTCAATTTTTCCTTGTATATTAATAATTTGTAATTTTTAAAGTAGCTCCAAGGCGTATACAAATCAGCTATAAATATTTACCGAACCAATTTGGGGAAATCCCAACTTAGTGAGATAATATTTATTAAGGGAGAAAACGAGCTATTAAGACCAATTAGCGAGACCGTCACATTCGCTTTGCTGTTTTTATAATAGTGGCCCTTTACTGATTAAATTAATAGATAAAGTACTTTTTTTGCCGATCTTACTAACTAGTAAATAAATACAATGCCGCCTATTGTTAAAGGGGTTTTCCATTGATTATATTTCCGATATTCAAGGGAGTAAAACGATTGAAGGCATGCGAACAATTCTCGAACTTCAACTCCGACCAGGAATTCCATGCCCTGAGCCACAAAGGAAATGGCTGCAAATGAGCCAGGCATTTGAATTTGGCCAGGCCATGTTCAAAGCTCAAAGGCGGCCAAGTGCCTGACTTCGGATCTGGATCGCAAAAGAAAAACCAAAACTCAAAGCTCTTCCTGGACGAAATCCAATTGACAGACAAACATGCAAGCGACCATCGATAAATGAAAATCCACAAAAAAACGATTGGACTTGGCCCAAGACTCTGGCTCAACTTCTCTTCACTTTTCGATGACACACTTAAAAAAGAAATTCTAATGAATTGTGCAATTTCAATTTTTAAGTATCTACAACCACGTTTTCTTTCAGAGTCTGCTTTGCTGTGCATAAATAGAAGGAAAATTATCTTTTTCTATATATTACAAATATTAAGGTACAAAATGTTCAAAGAATTTAACGTGTGCCTTAAATATTGTAGCCTGTAAATGAAAATAAATTCATAAAATTAATATAACAAAGCATGCTTAGGACTGGCAGGGATATCCTGCTTAGGACTGTTTTTTAAAAGCTTATTATCATAAAGAAACCTTGAAAAGGAATAAATTCATAAAACTATCTCTGCGATACCTCAAATTTTTTGTGAAGTGTGAAACCCAAAAGCAATGCGGTAAGGTAATAAATGCAACTAGAATATGAAAAATCAAACCTCAAATCAAGAAAAATTTCTCACATCCCTTAATCCATTAAATTTCCTGATTCTAAGCAAAAATTTATTGCTTTCGCAAGGCGATTTGCCGAAATTAGTCAAAGTAACCGAGAGGCAATCAAAGGTCCCAGTAGTTCTTTCCCTTTTGCCAGGCCAGGGAATTTTCGAATGAAAATCAAGCTTGGCTATATGGCTTTGACCCAACCTCACATTCAAGTAATTGACATTCTGTTGCGCTATTCGAACCCAGGACGACGGACGGAGGACGAAGGACCAAGGAGCAGGCGGTTCAATTGCAGCTCCTTTTGCTTGTCTTGCCGGGGATTTATTGCAACCTCAGTTGTTTGCCATCTTCGTGCTTGCCCCAGCTCTTTCTCAACTTCCAGGTTCTCGTCTATATTTTTTTATGGGCGTACATCTAAGCCGTCATTTCGGAAAACGACGCCCATTGCAATAGCGCCGAGATTTGATCAGTTGTTTGCTTTCGCTTTATATATCTTTCACTGTTTTAAAATTGCACTCATGTGACTTTGGCTCAGTCACTCGACGCTCGTCTCCATCCGCCCATACAATGGGCACACAATGAGCTGGAAACTGTCAAAAGGAAGGTCTTCCATGCCTTCTTTTTTTGCCCTTTTAAAGGGGCGAAGTCCATTTTTAATTGAGCTGCTTGAATAAGGTAAATTGTGGGAATATCTTTCTTATTTTGCATTATGTTTGAAATTAAATGTATGCTAAATATTATATACCTAAATAAAAACAGTACTCATTTTGATTTCAGTTTCTTTATGCCCAATTTTAGTAGCCAATTTTTAATAACTCGATATTGTAGCCCATCCAAATGAAAAGAGTATCAAGCTACCAAATATTTTAAAATCCAATTCCAGCACATTGCCCATAGTGACTGCAGTTTTCAACTAACATTTTTTCGGGCAAATTGTATCTGTACTTTTATGTGTTTTAGCCCCCGTTTTTATTTTTAGTTGGTCCTTGGTGGCTGCTCCATTCTAAAGCGACAACAGAATAAATTTTGGTTGGACAATTTTGTTTCATTTTTTGTAAATCCCCAATGCAGGCGACTCAAGCTACCGAAAACACACGATGCACATTCATATTCATTCTGATTCTTAGGGTGGAAACAGATCCTTTGGGAATTAGGCGAGTACAAACTTACTAACACATTCAAGTGAGTTTATCCTTTAATTTAAAATTTCACACATTTCGGCAACTTTTCTTCCGATTTAGTTGTTTTATGTGGACCATTAATTATGGATTTTGTTTTTCTAAAACTTTTAAAATGCTTTATTTGCTCTGGCCTTGTCGTACGAAGTATAGTTTTTAATTTATTTAAAAGATTTTCATTTTTGTGAGCTTGTGACTAAGTCCTGGCCTGGAAATCCTGCTCTAATTGGCAGACTTCCGGCAGCCTGTCAAACATCCTTGCAGATAAGCCCAAAGTCCAACTAAAAAAATTCTAAGAGTGAGTTGAGTTTTTCACTCCAACAGTTTTTCCTTGATTCTTTATGTAAATGATGTTGGATTACGCAAATATTTACATTATTTTCCTCGCCATAGGTTACTTTTTCTGCGCTCAGATATTTATTTATTCAATGCGATTGTTGCCTTTCGTTTGAATTGAATCGAATGCTTCTCATTTGATTTAAGCATAATTCAATTATTTCCGTTTAATTTTCAACAAATACTTGAACGCATTCCATTTGCATATTTGACTAAGTGAAGTGGCTGGGACGGAGGGCATTAAAATAAAAGTTGAAAATCAGCCAAATCAAAAAGCCAGAAAGTTCCTTGGCACTTGTTTTAATCTTTTCGACTTTTTGAACTTTAAGAACAAAGTGGCTTTGGAGTAGGGTTTCTTTAAACGGAATATAATCACCTAACCTGTTTCGTAAAAATTCTATTAGATTCAAATTCACAAAATTCAAATTCACCGTGCATACCACTATATATACCACTGCCACTCACATCAGCGCTGGTCAGCTCTCTGATGCTCCGGCTGTGGGGCAGCGAGCTGGACATGGGCTACCTGGTGATGCTCCGCGACCTGGGGCCGCTGGCCTACTTCGATGGCCTGCTGACGCTGTACGGAAACGAGGCGGACATGTGGAGCAACATGTGTATCGCCATTGAAGACCTGTCCGCCGTCAGTTTCCAGTTGGTGCGAGCACAGGCGCCGACGCCCCGGATCACAGGATCGCGGCAGGCGTTGGATGTGCTGCCCGGAAATAGCACCTCCATCTCCTCCAAAATCACGCAGGTCTTCTTTAACATCGGCATCAATGAGAAGGCCAGCTTTGCAGAGACGCTGGGTCAAACGCGGGAGCAGCACCGCTCCAACTGGGACAACTATCTCCGCCTGAGCCAGTACTTCGGGCGCTACCGGAAGCTGGGCCTCGGCTCCGTCGACGCCGGCGAGTCGCTGCAGTCGTTCCTCGGCTTCATGGAGCAGCAGCTGCGGGCGAACGTCTCCAAGAACGTCAAGATACTCCATCTGGCCGAGGACGCCTGCCGGCTGATGGACGGGCTACGGTTCACCTCCTGCAAGAGCGCCAAGGATCGCACCGGCATGGCGGTGACCCTGGAGCAGTGTCGAGTCCTGGTCCGCGAGTTCCAGCTGCCCGCCAAGCACCTGCCCTACGCGCTCAGTACGATGCTAAGTGAGGCAACAATTTTTTTGTGTGTAATAGTGGTTGCACACAAAAAAAATAAATAAACAAATATTACAGCTAAGCTCTCTTTTGCAAAATGTTCACAATTTATTTACGTTTTCAGCGAGAGCGCACAAAATTTGGTTTTCATTCTCTAACTTTTCTATTTAAATTATCACAAAAATTTGGACTGGAAAAAAAGTGTGAGTTGGGGAAATAGGGGAATCCGAATTGAACGGAGAAAAAATGCCTTTGACTTGTTACATTTTTCAACAATTTGCCTGCCTACTTTGCCGTGTTTTTTTATTGCCTTTGGTCTGTTTTGGTCTATTTTCAAATCTGTTTGGCAAAGCGATTTGTTTGTTTGCGCATTTCCAAATTTGCTTTTATGCCTTTGTACTTTTTTTAACAGAAGGTCCTTTTACATATATTTTAAATAAGGTTCATTGACTTTGGCTTCATTATAAATTTGTATCCAGATTTTATTCATTTTTAATAAAAGCCCTGGGCTAATGCATACACATATGTATTAAATAAATATATTTGTTTACTTCTTTGCATAACCTTTTATTAAATTTTGTTGCCCCATAAAATTTGGTATTTTCTTTTTCAAATGGTTTAAAGACGTTGCAATTTCTTATAAAACCATAATTCAGCTAATAGCCTTAGGAAACCTTGTCTCATTTTATTTCCGATTTGAACATTTTTGCAAATAAAATTGTTATTTAAATCATGGGCTTAACTTGTGATGGACTTAACATGTGAAAGTCTAAATTCATCCCAAGGTCTTGTAAATCTTTATTGGCTTATGCCAATTAAATTGCACATTTTCTTAAGTTCTTTATTTTTTTGTTAAGTTTTTTATATGAATTCTTTTAAGTTTTGAGTGGGTTTTCACAGTCAAATATTTTTCTTTATTTATATTTACCTTTGGTGCTTGACTCTAGCCCAAACATATATATTAAGCAGACTTTTGAATATTTAATTTCGTTCTACGTTTTTCTGTTATTATTTATTTTTTAAATATTTATTATGCCACTTGTTTCTAGGTGGCAGCTGTACTCTTGGTCCATTGTGTATCGTTTGAGCGCCAAAAGAGCAACAACAATCCACTTTTCTGAGCTGCCTATGATTGTTTGGCTTTCTTTTTGTTGTTCAATTAAATATATTCCAGTGCAACAACGCACAACCCGCATCCCGACACCAGCCCTCCACGTCTCTCCCCACCGTTTGTTGTTATTAAAAAAGTTTTTTGAGTTTTTATTTGAATTTCCATGAGCGCAGCACCGGGTAAAAGTGGAAAAATAAAGCACATTCAAAATGTATTCATACTCCTCGCGAAAACTAGTGCAGCAAAAACAAGCACAACTCGACAAAGCGATAATAACTGACCGATTGGGTAAATTTTGTAATTATTGCCAATAGCCAGAAACGCTGAAAAAAGGCGAGAAAAAATTAATAACAAAACTTTGGCAATCACCTAGCCCATACATGAGGTAATCCAATCGCACAACAAAGCAAAGAAATCTAAAGAATCGAGCTTGGCAAATACAATTTTTGTGAGTTTCGTTTAATTGCTTAATTTAATTTGCATGAAATCCAGCAAGGCAAACAAAGCAAAGCTTCGTTGGAAAACCGAAAAACCTACCAAAGTTCTTTTGTTGAATCGGCGTCGTCGTCGGCGGCAAACAAACAAAAAACACTCGAAAAAATACGTTTCGCAAGTTGTCGTTTTAGTTGTAGTTGCTGTGATTTTTTTTAACACTCCACTGGCTACTTTTGCATGTCTCAAGAACACTGCCCAAGTGGTTAAACAATTGGTGGGGATTTTTTCGGCTCTCCCCTATCGATTTGATATTCTGTTGGATATTTTATGCACTTGCATACACAATTACGCGCTCACAGCACAGCACTCGTAAATGAATTTTTTTTATTCAGACGCACTTGTTTATGGCTTTGGAATTTTTTGTAAATTTTTACGATAGACTCTTCGATGGATTTTCCACGGCCTTAGCACCAGAACTTTTCCAGCTCAGCTTGGTTTGAACTCCGTTAAACGACTGAATCGCTTAGTGGCGAGGCATCGCTATTTTATATGTCCGTTCTCCAGTCGAAAAAGCTCGGCTTTCCGTTCGGCTTTTTGGTCGATTGAATTGATGGCTGGGGGGAGGTCCACACTTTATGCGCAGGCGCTGGCTTGCTGTGGAAAAAATATAAACACAAAGCAGCTGGCTGAGCTCAGCTGATTTTTGGCCAAAAGCCGGCAACAACAAGCCCCACATGTGGCTCTGTTGAGGGGGGCTTCATCGGGAGAAAGAGCAGGTTAAAGCTTCGGCAATGCCGAGTGCGCAAAGACAATAATTTGATGTTGTTCTTGCCCACGGAAAACCAAATAAAGCAAGGTAAGCGCATAAAACACAAACAGCAGCAACACCAATAACATCTATGAGGCTTTAACAGGTGGCAATGTCATGATTTCGCAGCAGAGAAAACAAAATTATGGTCGACCTTATGTTAAATATGTTTAATTTAAATACTTTGAGATGCACTGGAAATGTAAGTTCAGATGGTTATTCCTTCTGAGTTGCAATATCGATTTGTTTAGTACAAATTTTAAATATAGATATGGGACTATTTTTTTAAAAATAATTTCGCTATAAAGTAAGACCTATTTTAATTTTTTTTTAAATATTGTTTGTATAGATTTACCATTTTAATAAAAAAAAAATATAATTTTTTTGTAATTCTAAAAACATTTATACATAAATCCAATCTTCCAAAAAGTATATAAGTATATTATTATTTATTTATTGTTGTATTTTTATTTTATTTTAATTATTAATTTTTGTAATTAACTGGTTGTCAAATTTGTAGTTGAAATGCTTACATTCAATATTTCCAATTTTTCTGTGTGTTTATGGATATTATCATTATTATTGCACACAAAAATTGTGAATTTTCTGCAGTCGTTAAATTAATTTAATTGATTATTGTTGTTCACTTTATTTGCACGATGTGTGTCGTTTTCTGGAACAATTGTTTACCTTTTATCGATTCATCTGTTGATTGCTAATTCCCAAAAACTTCGTCGCAAAAATCAAATCAAATCGAACAGCGTCGCAAAAGTAACGACAACAGAAACTGGCCAAACTCGCTTTAATTAGAAGCTAAATAATATTATATAGACAGTATAAAAACGAAGTTCGGTACTTAGACATGTCAAATGCTTAATATTAATGCGTAGCGAGTTCCTTGAACTTTCATTTTAATTTATTGATTTTAAGCAAACCACTTCGATAGCATCAGAGATTTAATGTAAGATAAGGTCTTGCTTATGAATATTCCATTGTGTCTGTTTATTGTAAATTATTAAAAACATTGATATCTTTCTTTAAGATTGTGCTTTTCTTTAGAAGCTTAAGACTATTAACGCATAAAGCATATTTGTTATAATAATAATACAAAAATATTTCTACATTATTGACTTCTTCAAATTAACGTTTTTTTAGAACTAACTCTGGAATGAGTAATATCATAAGGAGTTACCGGATCGTATTATATTTTGGAAATTTAGCCGATCCTAATGCGGTCGCATTATCAAAGTTGTAACTTACAGTTACTTTTTTTCGCAATAATCTGTGCACGTTTTTTGTCGTCTTTGTGCTTGTTGAATTTTTTTTTTAATTTACAAAATGAATCGATACAATCGCGTCTATAGAGGTAGTTACGATAAAACAAAATTCTGCAAAACTAATATCAAAATGTGAGTAACTTAATTTTTGCAGATCCCGGATCTCCACTGGCGCCATTAACGCCGCTCGGCACCGAAGCTTTCACATTTGACGATGCCACGCCCACTGGAGAAGGTGGTAGGAAGAACACCGCGAGATATGGACTTTTTGGGATCCCGACGGCCAATAATCTTACGGTTCCATCACGCCGGCCACCGCCTCCTACGAAAAGTTTATCAAATGCTAGTTTTCCTAGGCGTTTTTCGAAAGAATTCATGCGCACGCGATCGGTGTTTTCGCCCACGAGTCAAAGTACCCTATATGGAGAATCCTCTTTGGCCGGAGAATCCTGCATTCCGGTAGATTCGAAATTACAGACGAAGATTGAGAGGCAGGATACCCGGCTGCAGCAGGAAATACGGCTAAAACAGGAGAAATCAAAGATAAAAAGAGAGGCGTCCATGTCGAAAAGTGCAGCATCCAAGGTGAAATCGGAGGACACCAAGAGCCCCAAGCCCAGTATTATGCATCCACGCTACAAACCCGGCTCCCCCGTGGAGCACCCCACGTTGAGCCCCCGTGTTAAGTCCCTGCTTAGCCGCACTGGAAATGAACATCTTTCCGAACTGTTCACTCGCCAGGAGATCGACATCGAGGTGCTTATCCAAATGACCCTGGAGGATTTAGCGGCGCTGGGCGTTCGCGGTGCCCGGGAGATCAGATTGGCCTTGAACATTATCCAGTTGGCCAAGCAATTCTTTTAATTCATATTATATGTCTCTTACACGTTCACGCAAATTTTAAGAGTTTTATGTATTCTGGATTTAAATTTATATGTTAGTTTTAAATAAATGTTTAATGTGGAAATCAAAGTTTGGATCAAATTGGTGGCTTAAAATTGCAATTTACAGTTTCAAAGTATTTTCCAAACTCCCCGCTAGGATTGAAAAGACATCACCGTTTAATTTAAACTGATTTATATTTTATAATACAAATTGTAACCCATTTAAAGTGAAAAAAAGTGTATTTGAAATAAATGTACTGTAAAATTAAATGGTCTAGGCTGTAAGATTTTAATTTTTAGAAATAATATTCTTTATTTTAAACTTCTTGCTTTTATGTACAATGACAAATTTAATAATTTGGTGGTTATCAACTTAGAATACTATTCTAACATTTGCTGAACTTTATAAAGAAAAGTTTCTCATTCATTTTTATAAAAGTATCAAAAAGTAAAATATTAACCCGACTATCCTTTCCTCTGTTAACCAATTTTAGTAGTCAAAAACGTCGCAAGCCTGTTGTGGCAGGGATACATGAAGTCATATTTGTCTGCTGTTACTGAGTTTCATTTTGTAATCAAATCTGAAATAATTGTTTAATTTAGATACTCCAAAAGTATAAAAAGATATTAAATAACTATATTTGTTTCAGTGTAGAAAACTAGCACAGATATCAACCAAGGTGTTGATCTTTGCTACCACGCCCGTTGAAATAACTCAGATTTATGGTATTTTTTTACAACCTTTTCACGAGTAGTTTAGTATATTTTGAAATCCAAACTGCGGTCACTCTGAACACGTGTTTGTCCCGAAGACCTGCGGTTTAAACAAAATATCCACGTTTTAACAGAAAAGCAATGGTTAAAGTGAAAGTAGAGCGTTCCGAGGATGCCGATGCATCCATAGTGACTAGCGGCGATGTCACTATTAAGGACGAGGAGTCCTACGACGACAAATTGATCTTCGTGAACGCCATCGCCAAACCGATGGCAGGTAAAAAACTGGCCAAAAAATGCTACAAACTGGTGAAAAAGGCGATGAAGCACAAGACTTTTCTGCGAAATGGATTAAAAGATGTGCAGACTCGCCTGCGCAAAGGAGAAACCGGGTGAGTAGTTAGTAATCCCCGCCAGAAAAGCAGAAACTAATGCCCCTTATCGCCCACAGCATTTGCATCTTCGCTGGCGATGTGACCCCTGTGGACATCATGTGCCACTTACCAGCCGTTTGCGAGGAGAAGGGCATCCCATATGCCTACACCCCAAGCCGGGCGGATTTGGGAGCTGCCATGGGCGTTAAGCGCGGTACAGTCGCACTGTTGATCCGCCAGAACGAGGAATACAAGGATCTGTACGATGAGGTCAAGGAGGAGCTCTCCGGGCTGAATATACCCGTCTAGAGCTGTAGCCTTAGTTTCTTCTGCTATTTAAGTACCTAGTTAAGTTAAAAGGATTCCTAATAAACGCCAGGAGATGCCTATTTTCTGGCACCAACAAAATTGTCAGCTTATTGTACTCTTTTTATTTTAAAAGGTTTTCTAAAGTCTGAGAATTGACGAAATTTAATTAAGTAATTAATAACGAATTGCCACTTAAAAACGGACAAGACTTTATAAAATAAAATATACAGAATACCTTTAAAAGAAAATTGACAATCCTAAAAAACTGTAATTATGTTACTTAATTCGATTAGATATTTGTTATTCACTGGCTTACGAACATCTAACCAAAATCCGAATAACTGCAACAGATTGAAAAAACCCTGCTTTTAAAAACATACTGAACTTAGTTAATCAAGTTTATGTCAGATCTGAAAATTACTTACTTTAATTATTTTTAATCAAATCATTTTTCTAGCAATCCTGTTTCAAAATGTAAATTCGGCTAACGAAAAATACTTTTAAAACAAATAACAAGCTGCCAAAAAAAACCAAAATTGCAAGTTTTTTTTGCTGTCCCTTGGGGATCTTTTTTGTTTTCCTTTTTTTTGTGATTTTTTTATAAGTATTTTCAGCGTAGCTGTTTTCATATAAATTGTTTTACATATACAATACAGTTGAAATGGAGGAATTTTGTTGGGCTTCTGGGTTCTGTTCTTGTTGTGCTGGATGATGTGGTGTCTGCTATTATGTTTTTAGTGGTGTCTAAATTTACATATAATTTAACACTAAATGTGTTCTTGTAGGTATGCAGTGTGTTTCCTAGAAGATCGTTTAACAAATGACATGAGTGGAGGGGGTAATATTAAAAGTACAATTTCTTGTTTATTTAATGTGATTTTCGTTCTTTTTTGTTTCCGCTTTTTAGTTTGTTATGCGTTACATTGGTTAAATAATTACAGTTATATAAAGTTAATATGTTTATGCTATCCAAGTCGCTAGCCAAAATACTACGATAAAACTCAAAGATCGGTTAAATACTCTTATCGAAAAATTCTTATATTTTTGTATGCATTTATCTTTCGTTTGTTTTACATTTACCAGTCGTCAGATCGGACTAAACGATGAGTGGGTGGGGTTTTTTTTTGGGGATTCAGGGGCAATGGCTGCAAATTTGGGGTGGTCAACAATAGTAATATAATTTACACACGCATCGACAATTTTGGATGGGGAAAGGAACAAATAACTCGTGCACAAATTTAAATATTTATATGCGTATTATATATATGTTCGTATGTAGGTAAGTATGTTTAATTCGTACACAAAAATGTTCATATCCCTTATAGCCATTAAATATATATAATAGGTATATAATCTGAAAGTTACAGTAATAAGGATAATAATTTATATATTTGAGTGCGTGACAAATTTTCAGTTTTAATGTTTTTTGTTAATTTGTTTTTTTGAATAGTCAACTTCTGTACAAAATTGAAATTTATAACTGAGAAACTAAAGGTAGAAATCGAACCGAAGGTTTACGTAGCACATGTGCTACGCTCTAAAAATAGAAAAAAATTTACAATACAAATTTTCTTGAATTATCTTACATCTAAAGCTAACTATGCATTTTGCAGTTTATAGTTATTACATAATTATTTCATTTTTTTGTGGTTTTGTGTTTGTTTTTTTTTTTGTAAAGTTTTTTTTATGATTTTTTTTATGTTTCAAGAGTCTAATCGATAAGGTTTTCTTGTGTAGACGTAATGATTATTTTTCTGGGCTGCTCAGAGCAACCCTTTGGATGCTGCGAACAGATGGAGGCGCCTGAGGCGTCCTTGGGCATTGGGGCGTGGCAGGAGGTTAACAGGGGGCTGGGATGGAGACCAAGGGTCAACGTCAACAAATCCCTGCTGCGGCATTTGGGCGAGCTTTAGTAACCACTAAACATTAACTAAATAGGTATGTATGTATATTATTAATTAATTATAATAATTCACACGTTGAACTTAAGGCTACCGTAATTAAATAATTTGCAATTTAAATGAAAGCAAAAAAATAAGGATAGGGGCAACTATAATTAAGAAGCAGTTCTTTTTCGTTTTCTCTTCCGTTTTCCCATTGTCTGGGGCATTTTTTACGTTTTTTTTTGTTCAGCTAAGAATTTTGCAATTTTTTTTTTGTTGTTAATTTTCTGTTTTTTTTTTTTTTCTTTTTTGTTTTTTTCGTTTTTGTTTTAGATTAAGACCCTTTGATGCCACAACAGGAGATGTGCTGCCGTTACCGCTTCTCACTGAAAGTAATTGTAGAATCCGGTCGTGGCCTGTCCCAACTCTCGGATAGCCGCAAACGGATCCTTCTCTAGGAGATCGTTTCCGCCACCTGCCTGCGCGCCTTTTCCAGCCCCAGATCCTGCCACGCCCGCCTGCGCCTGCGACTGTCCCGGCGATGGTCCTGCCCCACCGCCTCCGCCAACCACCGCCTGGGGTCCCTGGCTCAGCACAGCCGCATAGGTGGTTGCCGACGAGCCGGAGGACTGCTGGTGATGATTGGCCGCCTCCGAGTGGGGAACGCTGGGCACCATGGCCTGGAACAGATCCACATCGTGACCACCCTTCAGCGTATTGAAATTGTTGTACAGCAGGCCGTGCATGTGGTCCGACGACTTCACCGAGTGGTCCACCACCGAGTTGTTGGCCTGGAAGAGTGCCTCAATCAAATTGGCCCCTGTATCCAACCCATGCATGTTGTTGTAGCAGCCGTTTCCACTTCCGATCCCATTTCCGGCCAGCGCCTGACGGCGGTACAGCGGCACAGAGTTGTTGCCATTGCTAAGCATTCCGTTGTTGTTATTATTGTGTCCGCCGACTCCTCCGCCGGCGATTCCCATTCCAACACCCCCAACTCCTGCGCTGTTGACGCCCACGTTGTTATGCATGTTTAAGTTGTTGTACGGCTTCTCGTTGAGCACAGCATTGCCAGCTAGAATATTGAAAAGTATAAAGATTAAAATAGGAAATGGAATGATGGGTGAAATAATCGGATCATTAAATCAGCCTGATGGTTTTTATTGTTTTGCTAACATTTTCAAATTCGTTTGGCATTTAAGAAGATGTATAAGGGGGTATCCCCATTCTTCTTATATAACTAGCACATTAAAAAAAGGTTTATATGCAAAAAATGGTTTTCTTCAATTTGTTTTTAAACTATCTTTCAAAAAAAGTAGATGCAGTCGGTATCTGCTTTAGCTTGGACAAATAATCTTACATGAGACAAAACTTAATAGATTCCTAAAATATGAAATAACGTGGAGTTATTATACCCGTTACTCGTAGAGTAAAAGGGTATATTGTATTCGTGCAAAAGTATGTAACAGGTAGAAGGAAGCGTTTCCGACCCTATAAAGTATATATATTCTTGTTCAGGATCACTAGCCGAGTCGATCTAGCCATGTCCGTCTGTCCGTCTGTCTGTCCGTCTGTCCGTCTGTCTGTCCGTATGAACGCTGAGATCTCGGAAACTATAAAAGCTAGAAGATTGGGATTTTGCATGTAGATTTTAGGAGTTCCTACGCAGCGCAAGTTTGTTTCAAAATGGTGCCACGCCCCCTCTGACGCCCACAATCCACAAGCTGTGGCCACAGTTTTGATGATATTATGAAAATTTTAATTGATTTGTATTTGTTTCGTCAATAAATATCGATTGGCCTAATAAAAGTTTGCCACGCCCAGTCTCACGCCCAAAAACCCATTAAACGCTTAAGCCTGGCTAGCGCCTACATTTCCGCCTTTCGTGGCGCCATCTAACGGATGACTTTGGAACAGCTGGCCAAGGTGCTCAACAGAGTCAACGTTAATTCTCGATAAGGATTTCTATTAAAGGAAATTGCGATGGTTTTCATTTGTCAATACCCAACTATATCCCAAGAACTATGCAAATCAAATCAAGTTAGCCAAATTGGAGGTCTGAGTCAAACAATGGAGTATGTGTGTATGTATGTAAGCATATACATATAAAGCTGCCAGCACTAAGAGATCGGCGAATTCAAATTGATAATTTGAACTTTTTGTCCTTTTTTCCTGTGGTCACTATTATTCACATTACATACAAGAAGGCATATTTATATTAAGTTGTTTAGCTGAGTAACGGGTATCTAATAGTCGAGGCACTCGACTATAGCGTTCTCTCTTGTTTTTAATATTGAGTGTTAAAAAACTAAAACTAAAACTTTTGATTCCAAAATAATCTAAACTGTAATTTAACTACATGAAATATAATGCCCAAAACCGGTGGTCTGATCTTTTAAATTATATTTCTCAGCTTACCATTGCCCATAAAGTTGGAGTTACCGACGCCGCCCAGATTGTTGCCGCCACCGTTGAGTGGCGCCTGGTGCAGCCCAGGTCCGCCCAACTGATTGATATATAGGGGTTGTCCGGGTCCTGGAGGTGGCTTCGCCTGTTGCTGCTGCTGTTGTTGTTGTTGCTGCTGCATCATGGCAAATAGGCGACTCTGCTGCTGTTGTTGTTGTTGCTGTTGTTGCTGCTGCTGGAGATCGGCCCCGTTTAAGCCATTACTAAGCACTAGACCAGGAGCATTGCCCGTGCCAGCCACCATGCCCAGAACATCCCGCAGAATGGGCTGAGCAATATCATTGGCTCCATTCATGATGGAGTTGAAGACCAAATCGATCTGCTGGTTGAAGTTCTCTAGCGGCGGTGAAGGGTCCACAGATTGCTGAGGTGGCTGCTGCTGCTGTTGTCCTTGGGGATACAGCATCGGATATTGTGGCCGCTGCACATGTGGGTTGTTGAGCATCGGATTGTTGACCATCTGTTGCTGCGGTGGTTTATGTGGCTGCTGCAGTGTGGCCATCACCTGGCGCAACATATCCGCGAATTTGTTGGCACCCTCCTGTCCCACGGTTTCGAGCAGTTTAAGGTACCACTTGTACTGCTCTTCTTTCGGGTTAAAAGCCATTTCGTAGATGCTCACATTGGGGGGCAGTAGCTCGTGGGTCAGAGGGCCAAATCTCATGGAGCTCGGCGACGGTTGTTTGCCAGCATACATGAAGGGATTGGGTGGTGGCGGCTGTTGCTGTTGTTGCGGCGGTGGCGGTGCTCCTGGATTGTAGCCGCTTCCATTGTGGCGCAGATAGGGAGGCGGCGGAGGTCCGTTCTCCATGGGCGACATGGGTCCATTGGGCACACTGCTGCCCCTCTGCATGCCCATCGGCGGGGCCTGCTGCTGTTGCGGTGGAGGCGGCGGTGGTCCTGGCCCAGGTCCGTATAGCTGGTGGTGCGGCGGCGCCTGTCCATGGTTGTACAGAGTCTTCTTGGCCAGGTAGCCCAGTTCGCTGGGATTCCTCAGCAGCTGAGCAGCCGCCGAGGCGTTTGGCGGAGGAGGTGGTACACTACCTCCTCTTAAGGGTAGCGAGGGATTTGCATTGAGTGGCGGTGGCAAAGGTCCTGGTCCACGCCCCGGACCACTCACTGGCGGAGGCTGGGGCTGCTGTGGCTGCTTGCTTGGCGGCAGCACACTCCACGGATTCGTTTGTGGCGGTGGCCCCCATAGGCTGGCATTGGGATTTTGCGGTGGCTGTTGTCCAGGTCCAGGGCCTTGATTTGGTCCCTGCTGCGGTGGCCGCCAGTGCTGCATGGCTGGGTATTGTCCATATGGTGGCGGTGGTCCTCCACCACCTCCTCCGCCTCCTGGCGGCTGAGTGGGTGGTGGTCCTCCGGGTGGCATTCCCCGCAAATGCGGCGCCTGAGGCGGTGGTCCCCGCATTCCCATGTGTCCTCCGCCTCCTCCGCCGCCGAAGTGTGGCGGTGGTCCTGGACCAGGGCCTGGACCTCCTCCGGTTCCCGGCCCAGGACCATTTCCAGACTTTCCTCCGACGGCAGCCATCATCGCCGCCATGTGGGTGGAGTACATGTGGGAGAGCTGTTGATTGGCCATGACAGCGGCCATTTGATTCATCTGATGGGCGGTGGCCGCCGGTCCAGGACCCAGCATGCCAGCTGCAGTCGCGAAATGAGCCGGAGGCCCAGGTGGGCCATGGCCACCATGTCCGTGCTGCGGTCCGTTTAGGTAGAGGGCAGCCTGTTCCCGCAGATATGCCTCCGGTTGCAGGGCACGAGGTACAAACTCCGGCGCTAGAGGATTCAGCACATAGCCTCGCTTCAGCTCGACCCCATCTAGTTGTGAACGCAAATTTGACCAGGTTAGACCAAAAAGAGACTTATTCTCGTCGCAGATCTCGATGAAGCGCTCCCATACTTTTCGGCATCGTCCAATGGAGCACAGAGCCACGGGATCGCCGACCACTGCCACCAAAGACTGGGCACGAGTAATAGCCGTGTTCAAAAGTTTGGAGTTGCTCAAGAAACCATAGTCCGTATCGGCATCGCCAATGCTGGCCGTGGAGGCTGCTCCCGGAGCACTTCCTTGGGGCATACAGGTGCGTCGGGTTCGAACTGTGGAAAGGAACACCGCTCGGAACTGTTTACCCTGCACGTTAAGCACACGTTCCACGGATATTCCACCCATGCGGCGTTTCCTCAGCTCCGAACGAATGCGAAACACCTGATCTGCGTAGGGTGTCATAATGCCAATGCTGGTATCGTTGAGTTTACCCCATGCACTTGGCCAACGCTTCCGCAGCTCGGAAACCCTTTCCACCACCTCATACACTTCAGCATTGTTATAGAAAGCAGTTGAGTTTTTATCCTGAACATCCTCTCCTCTAGTAGTAAAGAAGGTCAAAGGGTAAAAGCGCTCGTGCCGTGGTTGTTTTCCGGAGGCCACCAGCTTTTGTTCGTAGAAGAGTTCCGAAGTGAAACGGATGATGGCCTCGTGTGCTCGATAATTCTCGCACAGCAGGATCTTGCAGGGAAAGTTGGAGGGATAATGGTCGTACAGTCGCTCCAAAAGCGATATGTGCAGCTTGCGTTCCTTGGCAAAGGCGGAAAACAACTCGGGACTCATCTGCATGTGATCTCCGGCCAAAACGATCCTTGTAGAATCATTAGCCAAAGCCAGCGGCATAATGGCTTCGCATTCCATTGCCTGAGCAGCTTCGTCCAGGAAGATGTGTGTGAATAGACCTTTGGGTAGTCCCAGAGTGGCCAACTCCATGCTGATGCTCAGAGTAACTACGACAATCCTATGTCGCATTATATCCTCCACACTGGGGCGCTTGAAGTTGCCCACTCCATCGATGATGCAGTACTTTTGCACCACACCATTAACGGTGGCTGACCATCTCTTATGGTAATAAACTCGCAGGGGTGTGGCCTCCTCTAAGCCCTCCTCGATCCACGGATGCAGGTACTCCTTGATGTACAAATCAGCTGCTGAATTTGAGTGCGTGCAGATCAGGATCTTGGCCTCCGGTTGGGCCAGGAGTTGTTTGATGGCTTGGGCCAGTGTGTAGGTTTTTCCAGTTCCAAAGGGTCCTATAAGCAGGATTGGAGGCAACTTGATGCTTAGTGCCGTGGTGATAGCATTCACGGCCTCCCTTTGCTTGGCATTTAACTTCGGTTCGCAGGCATCCGCCCATTGCTTCTTCGGTGTCCACGGTATACTCGGTTCTAGCTCCGTGGCCGGAAATATCAGCCGAAAGTCGGTAATCTTATCCACTGCATTGTGCCACTCGCAGTAGGGCATTCGATTCAGCTGGAATTGTATATCCACTTCCAGTTCGGTATCTGCCTGCAGTGCCATCGCCTCCACACATTTTGCGGATAGTTTCAAATAAATCACATTCTTCCCTTTGTCCTCGATCAAGGCCTCATAAACTGCACGGTTATTTGGATCCGCTTTGGAATCCGGTTCCTCAGGTTTGGAGATGTACACACTGCTGCAGTTGGACAGAATTAATCTGCCAGGGGAAGTATCCTCTGAGATGTCCTTGCCCAAACGCATGAGAGCAAACAATTCACCTGCCAGAGAATACTTGGCTGTGCTGGTAGCCATTCCAGCTGGGGTGAGGATATAATTCGAGGCCACTGTAAGACGGGTCCTCACATTATACCTTGCTATCTGCTCATAGCGAGCAATCTCCTCCACGGATAACAACTCGTGGATGCGGGACCGGTAGTTGTTTTGCGTCAACCGCTTCTCCACAATGGTCGATTGTGTCAATGTGAAAGTTGCTGCCCTGGGGCAGGGATACCTCTCCAACAGTTCCCTCTCATGCTCCAGATCACTGAGATACGCCTCTGTCTTCAGATGTGTTCCAATCGTGGTTTCGAAGCGTGTGAGTTGCGTATTGGCCACATCCCATCGGGTGGCCGAACTGTTAATGATGTCCCGCTTGATCTCCTCGATTTTCTCGGCATCATTTACAGGCAAAACATCAACGCACAAGTGTCGAACGAGCAACGGTTCCTGGCCCACATCGAAGCAGATGGCCTGGCGAAAGGTTCCATAGATCTCCGTGTGAAACTCTATTGTGATTTCATGGGTCAAAGTGGCCGAGTCCTCGGTGGAAGACTCCGATGGGGCTGCACTGGCTGCCACCCACTCTTGATCGGATTTAAGCTCCATGATGCTTTCCGTTGGTTTGCACATTTTAATGGACTTCAGGGCAAAGTGATTGCGATGGGCATCCTGGAGGAGGGCCACTGCTTTAAGAGGCTTTTTTGTCTCCAGTTGGAAGAGCCACTCTCGCTTGGAGGTCTTCGAACTGATGCTGGTGACCAGCTGCTGCTCACACCGCGCCTCCATATCCGGAACCCGTTCACACATCACTCGCTCCGGCGCTGTGGCCTGGATCCATCGCTCCAGCACTTGCTCCGTGTACGACTTGCCGTAGAGCTCCTTCTCGCAGGCCTTCTGCATCCGCATCCGGCGGTATTCGAAGCGCTCCTTCCACTCGTTCAACTCATCATGACCATGGGCCTCCACGCATTGGGCGCCGTAGTGGCAGGTGTGCGCTTCACTGAACGTCTCGCACAGGGAATAGGTGTCCAGCGTGTAACCACGAGGCGGGGGACGCCACTTCCAGTCACGGCCTAGTCGGAAAAGTAATACATTATTTATTTTGAGTGATTGGAAATTCATGTTTTCAGTGCTTTTTAAAATATATAGAAAACCAAGTCTATGGTGTAGAATCATTTTATTTTATGATTTTGAGAAAACTTTACTTGTTTATCATTGTAAATTATTTATCAAGATTCGCGCATAAAACCACTTCAATCATTTTAAACTAGGCATCTCATAAAATAACAAAAAAGACCTTCACAATTGCAATTTGGCTTTCTAATTTTAGAACTTAAAATGCATCATAATTCTGACCGTAACCAGAAAGTTCCAATTTTTTGTTATTTTTTTGTAGTGTTTTAGTTATAAACTAAACGTACTTTAACCGAACGAAGTACAAAAAGGTATTTTAAAAAGTATAAATTAATTAATTATAAATTAGTCAACAAAATATTCATTAATAAAGAAAAGGAATAAAAGCCGTTTCCTTTTTGATAGCTGTATACGAAGATTGTATTTCCATAACTCCAAGTCAATTTATGGCAGATAGCCGATAAGCCTCTAGAAGTTCTAATGCACTTTTAATTTCCTCCGATACTTACCCTCATCGCTCATGATCACCTTCTGGTGGGCCTCGGTCTGGCAGTGCTGTCGCAGCTCGTTCCTCGTTTGGAAGGTGATGGTGCAGTAGCTGCAGGTGGTCGATGGGGCCTGATCGCCCTGATCGGAGCCCGATCCGTCTCCGGATCCCGTCTGGTGCTTGCCGGCAGTGAGCTTCATGGCCGCCAGAAGGTCGTTGGTCTTGTGAAGACTTGTGCTGGAGCTGGACATGGTGCTGCTGCTGCCAGTGGAAGAGCTACTGCTGCTGCTGGCGTAGCTACCGATTCCATTACCATTTTGCTGCTGCTGTTGTTGCTGCTGCTGCTGTTGCTGCTCTCGCTTCTTTAAACCCTTGTTGCTGAGAAGCTTGCTGTACTTGTCAAGCGGCAGGTTGTTGGTTGCCCAGTGATCCAGCTTTGTATCCAGGATGGCCATCTCGTCTTCGAGACGGGCGTGCGGGATCTTCAGGGCCTGCGCTTTGTGCTGCCCGTTCATGATCATCTGTATGATGGACTTATACCGCTCGAGGGTCTTGGATATGTCCGAGTATATCTGCTGGCCGCTCAGCTCATTGATCCACTTGCTCAGGAAGATCTCAGCATCCTAAACGAAAGTTAGAGAAATCAATGAATATCTTCTTAAGCTACACTAGGATTTTAAATTAGTAACGTTATATGCCTCTAATTAAAAGTCCAAAATGCGTCCGTAGGAAATTTCGAAGACGTATTATTTAAGTCGAGAAAGATTTACTAAAACTCAAAACAAATTAAAATAGTTTTCGCATACATTTTCAAATTTTGCTAATATTATCTTTTTATGTTATTTCATCATATCAATTAAAACTTTTGGATTTGTATCATTACCGACTTATTTTTATAGTTAACATGGATATCGTTTTAAGTCGGAAAAATAAATGACCTACGCATCCCCCAGCTTGGAAAGGGTTTAAAATAACTGAGGGAAAGAGCCTACCCGTACTTACCCCGTACTTGTGCATCTTAAAGAGCGCGTGGACAAGCCATCGGCGAGCTCTCGAGACGCTGGCCAGGCACTCAGTCTGCTCAGAGAGCAGAGTGAGCACCTTGTAGGCATCCGCCAGACAGCCCTCGAACTTGCCCAACTCCAGAAGGCACTCGCAGCGTCCCAGGAGGCAGGCAATCTGCTGGTCCTTCTGGGCCCTCGAACCCGAAGCGCCGGGATTGGGGGCAATCAGCTGGTCGTAGAGCGCCACGGCTCGGGCCCAACTGCGTCGGCGGACCATGTCGTGGGCCTGCATCTCCTTCTCGGCGGCCATCGTTTACTGGCTGGTTTTTGGGGAATCCTCCGTGTAGTTACTCATGCATGTGTCGCTTTTTCAGGTCCTTGTCTTGATCGCTCGTCTAATTTCTACGTTTATTCTGTTTGAAAAAGTTAAAAACATTAATTAATGTTAAGCTTTTCTTTATTTTTACTTACATAATTTAACAGTTTAAGTTGGTTAAGAAATCGATTATCGTTTTTACATCAATTGTTTATATACTTTGTGGGCATTATGTTTACTGCAAAGAAAATTGACAAAATTCGTAAAATTACATTTTTAGTTGGTTTGGTACTTATTTTAAGTTTTTTCCAATATTTAAATTTTGTATATAAGTGTAAAAGCTTTACTTAATATTTATTTACAGCATAAATTTAGTAGAAAAATTGGGATTGCCACTGAATTTTTCATAATTCCTCGTAACTTCAAATGTTGCTTTACTTCAAAAGCAAATGTTTATTGTAAATATACGTTGATAGTAAAATGAACTTTATTTCAGTGTTCTATTCATTGAAATTATTACAATTCATATATGTAAATTTTAAAGTTTATTTTTATGTTTTTTGTTGGAGAAAATAATATACAACATTATAATTTGTCATGTTTTTATTTTATTATTTATTCAATATGTTTTACTGGAGCTATTTGTTTGATGGATTTCCGTATTAAGTGATTTCTTAAACTTGTACGCCGAATTACTTCAGTTACTTTTAATGTTAGGGTTTTCATTTATCCACGTGGTTTAAATATATCCGGAATAGTTGTTTCAAATAATTATCTGGTAAATAATACGCCTCAATTCGCTTAAATGCAGTTGGAATTGTCTGTTGAAACCGAGTTGTTTGGACCAAAACAGAAATTGTTTATATCTGGGCAATAGCTTCTGCTCGGGTCTTATCGGATCCCAAATAATTGTGTGTATAGTATACACAGACGGATTTATAGAGCCGCCTACAACCAGGTATATGATAAACAATCCAAAGTGCTCCTTTTGCCGTCTTTATTTTCCGATTTACACAATTTTCATTCTAATTCGGTTACGCAAAATTTCATAAGAGCAATTTTCACTCTCGCACCGGCACAAAAGGGGGCGAAAAACTCAGTGGAGGGAAATGAAGGGGAAAATGGGGAAAACACTTGCTGAGAACGAGAAAATTTGCAAGCATAATTAAAAGTAATTTTCGAGTTGCTTCTTTTTCTTATTTTTTTTTATTTGGAGGCGCTTGCTCTCTTTTTTTTCGGATACTTTTTTTGTTGCGTGTATGTGTGCGTTTTGTTGTTGTGCGGTTTTTATTTATATGCGGCGATATATGGGTACAATTTAAAACAAATGGCGACGGCTGATTTCTTAGCAAATGCAGGTGCATTAAATTTAATCGTACTCTTATTTAATGTTGATTTTTCTTTTCTTTTTATATACACGGGCAGATTTTTGGGCCTGGCGTTGTCTTTCAAGCCGCTTGCAGACGTAATAAAATCACTTTCCCTTTTTCTTCTTTAGTTATTCCATAGTTTATTTGGCTGTCTTCCGAGTGAGCGTATTTTTATGTCATTTTGCACAATTTTCGAGAAATAAGAAGGATTTATTTTACCATTTTTCTTTTTACGTGCTGAAAACAGCAGACAGTCGTCAGTGTTGGGTAACGTCGCAGACACTCTCTGCCGAGTATCGCATGTGGCAATTAATGGTGGCTTAAATTTTATTATTTTTTTTTTGGTTTAATTATTGTCAACAAATTTTTTTGAAATTTTTTATTTAGGAGATTTTTGTTAATTTCGTTATATATGGCCCAAAAACGCCACAAAACAAAACACGAGTATCGGCTGCGGTTCTTTGCAACACTGAACGCCCATTTGACAACACTGTCGCATACACTACACGATGATTTTGCCATATAAAAATGGCAACTTATATGAACACAATACATGCAAATGACCGCATTGCACTTTTATCTGATTAGTCAGTTATTTATACAGCTCGCTACTCATTTTGCATGCTCAGCAAGCGACAGCGGTGCACTTTTTCCAGCGCGATTATCGCAAGTCAGCCAGCCAGCTGTAACTTTGTTTGCCAATTTTTGGTTCATTTCGGGTTTCCAGTGCTTTCACTCTTTCCAATTACCTTTGCACTAATTCTTATTGTTAATACACTACTGGCTAATTCAATTTTACATGGCTAAGCACATGAGAGAAAATGCACAACGTCGAAATTAAAAATAAGTTATGTATGTAGTGAGGAAAAATTCGCGAAATGCACCAGTGCTGGTAAGGGGAGGACAGAAACCAGGGACGGTCGATAACAGATGGGGCTGGCAAATCATCAAGGTTAAAAACCGTCTAAACTTTTAAAATTTTTAAAGATATATATTTAAAAATATATATATTAAAAAAAAATCTGCTTTAAATATATATCTTAAATCTTAAGAGATGCTTGATAAAAAACTTCAAGTTTTATAATGAAAATCGTAACCAAGGAACTTATTTTGTGTTAACAAATATATTTTTTAAGTAATTTAGAAATATATTTTGGTCAGTGAACATTAAATCAAATTATTGTACATTAATTGTAATCTAGAAGTTAATTATTTACATTTAAAATATTTTTTAAGACAATTACAAATTATATTTGTGTTTTATGACCTATTGTTATAATTATGTAAGTAATTTTCAGAGTTAAGTTTAATATTGGATTTTTATTTGATTTCTCAAGCTTGGTTTTCAGCTTTAAAAAGGCTTTAATTTATCTAAAGACAATTTCAAAATGAATTGGAATCTTATTGCTCGTATAGCGCTTATAGTCCACTTGTCGTTAGAAACAATCATCAAATCTGTTTTCCCTTGAATAATACCCATTTCTTTGAAGTTTGAATACACTGTAAAGTTGTTTATTCGAAACAGTTCAATTGATTTAAATACGTTGTAAACAGGATGTCTCAATGCTCTCGTTTGTGTGGCGGTACATAGACTTGCTGCTGTTGCGCCTGACGATCTCCGCGGTAGCGTGAGTGCTGCTGCTGCTGATGTTGTTGCTGTTGATGTAGCATTGGGGGGGCATTGCTTAGTGGCCTGTTTTGTGCATCCGTAATAGGTAGAATGTCCACCTTGAGCACTTCCTCGTGGTTGCCATAGCCCATAAAGAAGACCACGCAAGTTTTCTCCGACACTCCCGTAATCTCAGCCTCATAATACTAGATTAAATGAAATTAATTAATTAAATTAAATGATTAAATATGAATTAGTTATAAAGATTTGATTGTTTTGGTAACATTTTGTTAAAGTCCAGTGACCTAAACTCACCCTTCCATCGTCCCAGTACTTGGCCATGCACAAGTCGCCCTTCTGCCACATCCAAGCGTCTCCAGGCGTCATCCCGAAATGCTCCCTTGGTGCAGCGTGTGGCACAGCAACAGGAGCAGTCTGATTAGCATGGGGATTTCCATGAAGTGTGGCTGGGCCGGGAGCAAAAGACGTCGGTGGCAATTCCTGCTGCTTCTGTTGATTGGGAATCGTCACTCCTTGGCTCTTTAGAAGGCTCATGGCAAACTCGTTTGCCTCCTTGCTCTGGAAACCCATGATCTTGCTGGGATCGTACGTATAGCCGTTCGCCAATTGACTGTAGTTTGCATGCGAATGATGCCGGGGATTGTGATGGTTGGATTGAGCCCTTTCTGGCTTCTGCGAAGGCAACTGTGCGGATTGCTGCTGCTGGGTTTCTGTTCCTGTTCCCGCCTGGCGATTGGATTGTCCTTGACCCTGTTTGCGTCGATTTTCTCGCTTGGGAGCACTGCTCACCTTGAGATCAGCCGTCTCTTCGGTTACCTTGCTTAAACGTGCATTGAAATCCTCTCCTGAGTTGTTCGAGAGTTTGGCTGTTGCAATCCCTGAATTCGATCCAGAGCTGACTGCCTGTTTACGCCTGTTGCCATTAGCGTTGCCATTCTCGCCCCTGTTTGAGCCTCCACGATTGCTACCTCGATCACTACCGCGCCGACTGCCGGTATGTTCCTTACCATTGGTTGTTTCTTGTTCTGTTTTAACCTCGGGATTGGTCTTGGCCGGCGGGTTGTCAGGACCATTGCGGTTGGAGGTTTTTACGGTCGTGGCCTCCGGTTTGTTTCGTCCAGTTCCACGTTCGTTAAAGCCTCCACCGCGCTCCCTGGGTGGTCTTTCTTCCCTGGGTGGTCTCTCCTCCCTGGACGGCCGTTCTTCCTTCGGTGGCCTTTCTTCCCTCGGTGGTCTTTCGTCCCTCGACGGCCTCTCATCCCTGCCTCCTCCTCGATTACGTCCACCGCCTCTTGAAGAACCAGCATGCCCACCGCGATGCGCGGCAAAGCTGCTCGATACATTGTTCTCAAACCTTGACCGATCACCGAACTTTCCTCCTCCGCCCAGAGCTGAAGATCGGCTATCCGGCTCGCTGAACCTCGAGTTTCCATATTGCTTAAAAGGATTAAAGTGATTGGCAGTGGGTGGGGCAGTAGGAGCAGCGGCAAAGGCCTCTGCGATGCTGGGAGTAGGTGTCTCCGTGGCTGGCAGCTTTGTAGTAAGAAAATCAAACAGGGTGGCGTTGGCAGCTGGCTTGGCAGCCTCGGCTTCGTCCTTGGCGCTAGCACCACGCTTTCCCTCTCTGGGCGGTCGATCTCCACGTCCCGGACGACCCATTGTTTCGATGGGATCCAAGCCTCCTGTTTCCTTGCGTCGTTTTAGGTTGAAAAGAGCACGCTCTAGATTGTTTCGGGTGGCATGCAAGGCACTGCGGGCCTCCTCCTCGCTGAAGCCCTTGTCCAGGATCTTCTTTATGTTGTGATCGACGATGTTCTGCCCACCGCCTCCAAATACCTTTTTGACGCCCGCCTTGGTAGCCACGGCAATGGCCTCAGTGCGCATGGCATTGAACTCGTCGTTCTCCTTCACCGGCTTATCTTTATCGCCCGAGGAGCCCAGGCTCTTGAAATTCCTCTCCCTCTCGGCGGTGGTATCGATTCTCCGGCCAAATGCCACCCAAGGCGGAGGCGCCGAGGTGCCGCTTAGGGGACGACCACTACGGGCATACCTTAACATGGTCCTGGCAAGGTCCCACTTCTCATAGAGGGCATCCACACGTCCTCCCAGGAGCTGAATCTCACTGGATCTCAGCAGCATGAATCCCTGCATCAACTGAAGTTTCTCGGCCTTGAAAAAGATCTTACTCCCTGGTGCTACATTGAGATTCAGCTGGGGCACGGGTTCCAACTCCAGGGCCTGTATGGAATTCTGTCCATCGCTCAGATCGAGTTGTAGTAGGCGTGGCGCTGCCTTCGATTCTTCGTTTGCTTTGGGAGCGGATATATTCCTCACTCTCTGCACCTGCAGAACAATTTTTCCGGGCAAAGTGGCGTCTTCGCGTTTCGTGGGCAGTGCGCCACCACCTATATCACGAATATCCCGCTGAAACAATGAGTAATCGGTTATTTTTAATAATTACACACCATTTGAAGCAGCCGGTTCGCCTACAACTCACATTCAGTGCTTCATCCACAATTTTTCGGGGATCCTCGCTGCCAACGGCTGTTGTCAGGACTTTAAGGCCCTCCTCCGTCAGGTGCCTGCATAAATAGTTAGTCCTCATCACTCCCAACAATTTTATGCGCTACTTACCATCCGACTTCCTGTAGTTTATTGGCTAATTCCATTTTTTCATGAATACGTCTTTTTTGCAACCCGAATACTAGCGATGACAGAAGTATTAGATGTGTACTCGCTAGTGATGCGCAATGCGTCAATTGGAAATATCGGCTGCCGGTGGTTAAAAGTATCGCTCGGGTGTTATTATTATTATTATTTAGGCCGAGTTTCTTGAGTGCCTCTTTGTAATTCTCGATCATATAGAGAGTCCCAGTGAATAATTACAGGCGTCCCATTTGCTTTTACGACAAGATTGTTTGGTTTGATTATATTCGTCTTATTCATATTCGTATCAGCTACCTTAACTACCCTTAAGAAACTATCTCCTTCTTCAAATTTACTGTTTAAAATTACGTTCGAATACCAAAAGTGGAGAAATACATTTTAATTTAAATTATTTTTGTATTCGTGGATATATATAACACATTATGTAGAGTTAAAAAAGTTTCTCATATTTATGAAAAATCCGCCTATAATCAAATGTTTATTTTATTTTTATATCCATAACATTGAGACATATAACATTCAATTTTTATAGAGTAGCATGCCATTCTTAATTTTAACGATAAGACGAATACCCCATATGTCACAGTCAGTGATTGAACTCAAACTTACGGGTTTATAACGACATCAAAAGCGGTCACACTGCCAACAAAAAATATAAAAGGGGCGGCCGACGGCAGAGAGAATGAATAACGGTTCGCGAGCGACAACGTTTCGGTTTCGAGTACGGAGTATATTTTCTAATCAACGAAAAGTGTTTAAGCACCAAAGCGAGATCTATTCGAAGCGCGCCCACATTTATTGCCATATCGTAGAAGCTGCAACAATTCCGTGGAACAATTTCTGTGGAAAGTGCTAGAAAAAATAAGAAAAAAAAACTGTGACGCGAGCAACAAACAGTCATCGGACGATTTATAGAGTCTAACGCAGAGTCCAAAGCATGAATCTATCATTCGCTGGCTGCGGATTTCTGGGCATTTACCACGTCGGAGTGGCCGTGTGCTTCAAGAAATATGCCCCGCATCTGTTGCTGGAGAAGATTGGAGGCGCATCGGCCGGTTCCTTGGCCGCCTGCTGTCTCCTCTGCGATTTGCCATTGGGTGAGTTTCTGCCCCCATGTAACATGGGCGGGTGCAATGGGGTTTCGGGTCCTAAATGCCCACAAATCTTTGATTTGTCTTTAGAAATAACTATAATTATATTGACAGCATATTGAATCAAAACCAACTTAAAAATTAATGTACAGTAAATATTTTTAAATTTAAGTTTTGACGAAAACATAAGTATTTAAGCATAGATCCTTGTTTTTTAATTCTAGTAAAAGGCAAGGGATTAAATTATTCTAATGCTCTAGAAAATTAAACTGCCTTTTTTATAAGAGGGTGCATTTTGGCAATATTAATTGTTGGTACAATTAATCAAATTTTTTGCGTACCTGAACTTGAATATTCTACACGGTTGTTTGCTAGAAATTCCCCTTGAATATTTTCGGCACCACCACTGGTATTTTCGCTATTTCTCTCGTCTTTTCTCTCGAAATACTTATTCACATACAAACGTGAAACAGCTGACTGCAAAAACAACCACTGGTCAGTTCAGTGACTCTGTTAGTGGGAGGGAGAAAGAGTGAAAGAGCAAGAGAGAAAGAGGGATGCTGCGGAGCTCAATATAAAACGCATTGAATTGAATTGATAAGATTGTTTGCGTTTGTAGGTCGCTAGGAAGTCAATGGGGGTCTTTCATAATTGTGTCTGAGAGTAGTGTGTTTTTGGGCGTGTTTGTCCAATTTCAAAGGGGGCTCGTCAGTCGAAGGAAATATGCGGCGTAGTTGAAAAACTTCACGAAAACAGAAAAACAAGTTTCGTGGGCCGGTACAACGCACTTTTGTAAAGCGGCTCCCAAATATATAACCAAATGGTCAGGCTACACAAACACAGCGGTGGGCAAAACAATAGCGTCTTTGTCTAATTTTTTTTTTGCAAATTTTAAATTTGAGCATTTTTGTAAATAAAAAGTTTTTCATACTGTAAAATAAGCTAGTAAACCGAACTTATCATATTTATGCATAAATCGATAGTATCTTCACATTTATTAAAATGATGTTCAGCACGTCAGAATAATGAATTAAAGTAAAGAATCTACATAAACTATCATCTGTCACAAAAAGATACTATTATTTGTACCCCAGCTGTACACATACAAACCTATTTTCATCGAGATGCTTGAAGGTCGAGTGTTTATTCATATATTTTGTTATGCTAAGGAGGCGCGTTCATCGAAAGCCGACTATGAATTCGAGGCAAAAGTTGTGCTATTGTGGAATCTGGTCTATATATAACTGTGAAATATATGTGGGCTTGTAACACGAGTTCTTGTTTTCGATTTTTACTGTGCAACGCTTCGTTTGTATCGTGGGTATAAACATGTCAATCACTGGGGAACGAACACAAAACTAGCGAGCGAGGAAAACAAATGTCAGCTGTATTACTCATGCAATTACCAATGCAACAGAGTACAGATCATATGGCTTATCGTTTGACCAGGGTAATCGAGAGCCATAATCTGGAATAACGTCAGCAGAGGCAACAGCATTCGGTCGTTAAAGTAATCAATCGATTTTTTTGCTTCTATGCATATGCGATAATTTCCATACCCGGGGCTTAGCATGCTCGATTTCCCCTGACTTTGCTTTCATTGAACGGGGAACACTAGGTTTTTATATATCTGGGTTTTGACCTTCAAATCTAAAAACAGTACAATAAGCTTTATCTCGAAATTATAAAAAACTTATGAACAGAATTTCTAACTTGCTAAAAAAGATTCCAAATCTAAACTAAAACTTTGGTATCAACATAGAATAATGCGTATCTTTTGAATGTAGACCTACATTTCATAGCATTAGAGATATGCAGATTTCAGTGTTCAACATCTACAACTCTCTGTCTGGATTATTCCGCTTTGCATCTTCCGATTTTCCAGTTTTCACGTACGTACGTTTACCTACCTGATCTTTACCCTCAGCTGCTAGAAAGTTCGTTAGCCTGGTCAGCTGTTACCTGCAACAGAATTTTCCTGTAATTTCAGTTTTCCCTTTAATTGCCGCTATTAAATGTTGTCGGTTGCATTTTGATCTAGGTCTATTTGATTACTCAGCTCATGGCGTGTATAATTTGGACTTTAAAAGTCGTTATGCAGTTTGAAGGGGGGTTTCGGGTCCTAAGTACAGGTACCTATGTATATGTACAGAAGCGTTGCACAGACAAAAGACGATTTGTTCCGATGGCAGATTAGATTTGTGAAAGTTTTTACTTTTTTTCGGGTTTGCCAACAGTGCGAAACAGAAAGACGAGGCAGGTATTGGACTTAAATTAGGAAATAAAAACCTATTCCAGTTTAATGTTACCTTAAAATGCAGTAAATGACTTGTATAAGGAATTATATTAGATCTCTGGTTTTTAGCAACATTAACTTGTATTAATATTGCAGTACTTAGTTCTATTGTCATTCACTCTGTTTCCTTTGTACTCGAAATGTCTGCTTAAATCCAAGGGTTATTCAGATAGGGTGTTGGAAAGCCACCTCATGTGGCTCTTTATAAACCTATTCATTCATGACCGCTCTTTTATGGCTCTATTTATTATCATCTCTTCACCGCACTTCCTCTTTGTTGTTGGCAACACTTGAACACGAGTTGGTTGGTGATCGCCACGCGAACTTGTCACCGTATCGGGTGACGGCACCGCAAACTACATATATATTGGCCATATATCTCTAATTTTCCCCATTTTACTGCGAGCACTTTACCCCTCTCAGATAATCGCGATTTTACACTCGATCACGTTGGAATAATGGCTTAGTTACAGGGCACTTGTAAACAAGTTGTTATCAGTTAGTGGAAATTGCCGTGTTTTGATTGATTCCGGATTCTCCCTTTTTTAGGTTCAGGGGCAATTTACTAAATTTCTAAATGCAAATCTGTAAATACGAATATATAGACTGCGTTTATTTTTAGTGGGAAAGCCAACGGCCGACCTTCAGTTGAGTTCCCTCCGCTGCCAATCTAGAAATTTTAGAAATAAAATCTGCAATTAATTGTTCGCATTTGAGCACGAATATACCTACATACATATATATTCATTGCTTATCGGTTTGATTTACCTTTATGGGCACGTTATCATGGGGGAGTCATGTTTTGTTGCCGATTTCCGTCGCTTAAAGTCCAACTTGCGGGTGTATCAGATATTCGCTTACGTAGTATATAGGCTTTTGAATGGTGGTTCGATTTCGTTGCAGCTGGTAATACGAAAATATGAGTCAAGTGCAGTTTCGCGATTTAAGTCGCACATCGAGCTCTTTGTTTGATTCAGACTGATCGCTATCTATATGGCCGTACTGCCTATATACATGGTGCATTCGATTGACGTATTTTGCATTGGGCTTAGTTTCCTATTCCCAACTGATGATTAGAGTACAAAGCAAACACTATCTGCATATTTACATGTGGTTCGCAGCTGTGTTTTACACCCTATACATAATGCTATCAGCTCTGCGGGGTCCTCTATATGTGTAGTATCTTCCAATGATCTCCTCCCCACAATCAATCGCCAATGCAAATGGGGCTGTTCATCATTATCGAAAGCATTATTGTTGATTGACACACTTTCTGCGGCACACAAAACTAATCCACGATAACACTTGGTCACGGGCCGCGTTTCAATTGGAATAAAATAGAAATAGTAAGGCTTTCTTCGAGGTCTAAGGCTCGGTATTTAATTTTGAAGGTATTGCATACTCTACCAATGCTGGAAATATATATGTACATATACATATATATATAAAATGATCAAGTTTAATAACATTGTCGGGAAAATGTTAGACAACCTAATGTATTGAAAAATGTTTAAAAATAATTAAAATAATTAAAGTTTGTTTACTTAAAAAGATTTATATTGTAAAATTATATTTAATATATTATATAAATACTTATTCATATCTAAGTCAACTCTTCGAATCGAATCAAAAATTGCAGCTGCCGAGATCCATGCACAAAATGT